CCCCCCCCCCCCCCCCATAACAAGCACAAATAGTTGTCCAGGTCATCCTTTGAAAACATGAAGTCATGTGACCATAGTACGATCTTCTTAAATAGAAATAAGGGGATTGAACTATTGAGTCTGAAAGTAATATCCCAGACCTCTTGCAGTTCTTTGTCATGACCTGAATATGGACATTTACCAAATTAATTCAATTACTAAGTGGAAATTACTTTATTTCTCCAAAAAGGTTAAGTAACCTTTATTTACTCCATCCTTTTCATTGTTTCCCAACTCTAATTCCATTTAACAAATATTTATTAAGCACTGTTACATATGACACCCCACAGATAAGACGCTGTATAACAGAGTTTACATTCTAGAAAATGGGAGAATAAATGTGAAAATTAGACATTGTGGTATTTGGTTTTGAGAGTCGGAGACAAAAAGCATAATTTCAGACACAATAGTAAGAGAAAGCCTCTCAGAAAGAACAGAACTGAGCTGAGGAGTAAAGGATTAAACAAAGTTGGCCATATAAGAGCCAAGGAAGTATCAGAAGGAAATCAGTACACAGGTCCCTGGCAAGCATGGATTTGGTGCATTTGAGAAACCAGGCAGACAAGTGTAATGAGTACAGTAAGGAAGAGCAGACAACATGGGATGAGCCTGATGGGGCAGGACACTATCGCTGAAGGTCTTGTTATAGAGAGCTTCTTCTTGTGTTAGGAATGGGCTTTAGGGAAGCAAGATTGCAAACCAGGTGACTAGTTTATAAGCTACTATGGGAGTGTAAACAAATGGTTACAAAGGCTTGGACAAGAGTGGCAGCAATGGAGATGGAAAAGAGTGGACAGCTTTGCCCTGCCAATATGGTTGAGCATCATCCCATGCACCAAGAGGTTGAAGATTCCATTCCCAGTCAGGGCACATGCCCAGGTTTTGGGCTCGCCACCCCGCCCCAGTAGGGGGCATGCAGGAGGCAAGGATCAATGTTTTCCTCTCTCTCTAAAAAAAGGCCTAACCAGTTTGCTTAGTGGTTAAAGCATCAGTCCCAGGAGTCAGTCCTAGGACTGAAGGATTCCTGGTGACTCTGGTCAGGGTGTGTGTGGGAGGCAACTAATGTGTCTCTTTCACATCAGTGTTTCTCTCTATCTCTCCCCTTCCCTTCCACTCTCTAAAAAGTCAATGGAAAAAAAATATCCTTGGGTGAGGATTGACATAAAAGTAGATAGCTTTGAGAATCCTCAGAAGAGACATGGGAGAGATTAAATGATCTAAGAAGGAAGAGAGACAGAAGAAAAGCGGGCCAAGGACTAAAACTATAGGCACTAACATGAAAAGGATAAGAGTTATAGCATTTCTTAAAAGAATGTTTCAGGGAGATAATGCTCGTGTCCACTGCTACTAAGGGGAAAAGATGGTCATTAGATTTAGCAATGTGAAACTGACAGATAACTTAGAAAAGTGCAGTTCCCCCAAAGTGATGGGGTAGGGCTGAAAAGATGAAACTCAAGAGAGGGGATTATGTGCCTCAAGAAGCAAGCTGATTCCACACTATGCTGTGGGAAAACAGGAGGTTTAAGCCAGAAAGGCTTAAATCAGCATGAGAAGCAGATGAGTGTAGCCACTATGGAAAACAGTATGGAGGCTCCTCAAAAAAATTAAAAAAAGGAACTGCCTTATAACCCAGGGATTCCACTTACGAGTAGATATAGGAAAAAAACCCCGCAACACTAATTCTCAAGAATATGTACACCCCTATGTTGTGTTGGCCATTGTCATTTTTTTTTTTAACTTGACAATCTAGCCCAGCCGGCATGGTTCAGTGGTTAAGCATGGACCTATGAACCAGGAGGTCATGGTTCGATTCCCCAGTGTGGGGTGTGCAGGAGGCAGCCGATCAATGATCCTCTCTTATTGGTGTTTCTCTCTCTCCCTTCCTCTCTGAAATCAATAAAAATATATTTAGAAAAAATAAATTTGACAATCTAAGGGGAAAAAAGGCCAGTGCCCTGACTAAATTGTCAAGTACTGCATCCTTTAAAAATCCCTGACACACACACACACACCAGCTGAAAACCTCTGGCCTAGAGCAAAAGCCTATTTATTTGTGCCATCAGAGTTGGGAGTTTAAAATGTTAACCTCCCACTAGTCATCTTACCAAGCTTTGTAACCTAGATTCAATCCGTGTCCACAACTAGCCGGGACGAGATGGCACCCAATTAATAAAACAAGAAGCGGCGCCAGGGAGTCAGGCCGGCAGGCCAACCATTGGCTCAGATCCTTGCTCCGACACCTACTCTACCGGTGGGCCCTTGGGCGGGTTTCCCCTCACTAGTTCGCCTGTAAAATAATAATAAAAGTATGTACGCCGCAGTGCTGCTGTGAGGTTAAGCTAAATAAAACTAAAAATCAGGTTCTTCAGTCACCTCGGAAGTGACGCAACTAACCGGCGCTCAAACGGAGAACAATTATTTGCAACCCAAGAGTTTCAGGCTCGGCTCCCAGGAGACGGGCTGGGGAGAGTCCGGCCTGCAGCGAACTCGCCTCCGAACTCGGTAACTTCCGGGACCGCTCGAACTTCCTGTCTTCCCCGCCCCCACCCCGACCGAGGGCCTCTCAGAAACCCCGCAACAGCGGGGATTCCGGCGTCTCGGCCCTGACGGTTGGGGCCGCGGAGAGCGCCCGAACCTTCTCAGGGCGCGGGGTTCCACTGGGGCGCTCCTACGTTCCGCATCCAGCGACCAAGCTCGGATGTTATCCCGGAGACAGAAGCGCAAGGCTCGGGGAGAGGTAAGCGCCCTCCTCACCTGCAGCCGGAAAGACGCGGTCGGGCTCGCGAGACCGCCTCAGTCCGTTTCTTCCGCAGAACTCACGTCTCCCGATTCCAACCTCCCCGCCTCAGCCGCTCAAGCTGCCCGCCTAAATCGTGGGCGCGGCTTGCTCCTATTGGGCAGCAGTCCCGGCCGTCGACCAATACCCTCTCTTCTTCTTCCTTTGGTCGCCGCTGGGTAAAAGAGTGGCGCTCTCATTGGCTAGTCCTTCGCCAACGGACTAGGCGGGACCGCGCGCGAGGAGGCCTCGCCCAATTGGTTAAAAGCTGTGGCCCGTCCCCTCGCGTCCAGCCCTCAAACGCGCCGGAGGAATGCTCGTGCCGCTCTTTATTTGAACTTTCTGGCGGGAGAGAAGTTGTAGGAAAAAAGTTTCTCGGTACATTTTGAGGAGAAGATGACAATATTAAAACTGTGGCTCCTGCTGCTTCTCCCTGTTTAGTAAAGGAGCTGTCTTTATCCAAAGACTGGTAACTAATAACAATAATTTCAAAATATTCCCCTCCTCCCCATCTCGTTCGTATATATTCTCTCTTGGGTTTGGAGAGCGCATGCGGATTTGCTTACCTGATCTCTTCAATCCCAAATCACTGCAGTAAATTGCCTGCTACTAAACTATTGTCACATCACTTAAACAGCTAATATTTTTCAAACATCTCCCTGAAAGATGAAATCTCGCTAAAATCTAAACCTGGGCACAGACTGCACATGGCCAGAATTTTATTTACTCGGCTGCCAATTTTCAGTGGAATTGGTAGCAGACGAGAGCATAAGTAATTGAAAATCTTGGCCAATACAAATAATTACAACATTTTTCTCCTGCAAAACCAGCATTAGCATTTTTTTACTTTTCCCCCTTTTCTTGCTATAGCTTTTAGCCAGGCTACTCCAGGAGAAGGGATTTTTCTTTCCCAAACACATTAAGTTACAGAGTAGAGTGTAAGACATTTTGAGTCATTCTCACTGTTAATGTCAGTTGCTTGTTCAATGTAAAACAATTAGAAAATTATAGAGGCAAAAAAGGGAAAACTCTATCCAGAGAAGTCATCATAAAATTTGTTTAAAATCTTCATCTGGTTAAATTTAGAAAGAGATGGGATTCTGTTTTAATCTTAAAATATATCTGAGTGGCTTCCCATGTTAATGGATACATAGGCACATTGTCAAATACTTAATATTCTTTGAAACGATTTTAAATGAAAAAATGAATAGGTAATATAGCGCATGGCTAAAGAAATGTGTACAACGCGAACGGCTGCTTAGTGAAAACTCTACAGAATGTTACTAGATAGTTCCGAAAGCATATTCATTCATGTCCACCTAATGGCCATGTTCAGAGGAAGAGAACAAACAAAGGCAGAAATATATAGTCTTGTCTCCAATTTTCAAAGGTTACATATAGTTAGAAAGAAATATGTTGGCTGTGTTCCCTTTAGGAGTGAAATTCCAAGCTTTATGGGTGAAAAATACCAACCTTTCTATTGGTTGGTGGAACCTAAGAAGATTCATTGGCTGTGAATCACGAGAAGGAATATATCTGCTGAGATGGATTCCCATGATCAACCAAGGGCCCACATTTTACAAATAATAAGAGCTGAGCCACTGTTTGCTGGCAGGGGCTTCTCATGTGCTCCGTATACCAAGCAGAGCTGCTGGCACTAGGCTCTGCTTGCTAAGTCTTCCTAGAGCAGCCGTGGGCAAACTACAGCCCGCGGACCGGATCCGGCCCGTTTGAAATAAATAAAACTAAAAAAACAAAACAAAAAACGTACCCTTTTATGTAATGATGTTTACTTTGAATTTATATTAGTTCACACAAACACTCCATCCATGCTTTTGTTCCGGCCCTCCGGTCCAGTTTAAGAACCCATTGTGGCCCTCGAGTCAAAAAGTTTGCCCACCCCTGTGACCTAGATGACTGTGAGGGAGCGCCTAAGACCTGCCCTGTCCAATCAGAACTGCCCCATGGTGACCAATCAGGAGTGGAAGGGAGTGATTATAAAGGAGCATGAGAAAACTTTAGGACTTGATGGATCTGTTCATTATCTTGATTGTGGTGGTATCTACATAAAAAACTTATCAAATTGCACACTTTATTTTTTTCATATATTTTATTGATTTTTTTTTACAGAGACGGGGAGAGAGTTAGAAACATCGATCAGCTGCTCCCTGCACACCTCCTACTGGGGATGTGCACGCAACCAAGGTACATGCCCTTGACTGGAATCGAACCTGAGACCTTTCAGTCTGCAGGCTGACGCTCTATCCACTGAGCCAAACCGGTTAGGGCAAATTGCACACTTTAACTGTGTATGGTTTATTATGATGATGATGTTCATGATCTTGATGGAGTTTGGATTATTCATGTGTATGCATTTGTCAAAACTCATTGAATGGCATATTTAAGATTTGTGTTTCACAACATAGAAATGTTAACTGCTTATCCCCCTAAGCCCCGTAAACAAATATTAAACTTACCGTATTTGCCGGCGTATAAGACGATTTTTTGGCCCTGAAAAATATGCCTCCAAGTGGGGGGTCGTCTTATACGCCAGGTACACTTCAGATAGACTGCCCATAGTGCTTGCCCCGTGCCATAGTGGCCTCCCGATGCCCGCCCACTTCATTCCACATACCGT